AATCTTTGCCTATTAGAGGGACTCACCCTCACTGGGGTGCGACAATAGTTGGAATATCCCGGTTCCAAACCAAGGTTCCTTGGACGGGAGGGCATTCATAAGGGGGGTCGTGTTCGGTGGCGGTAGGGCTACGGCCGGCTATAGCTTTGTCGATTGGGGCACACTGGGCACGACTACTATGTCCCTCTCAACTCCATTGCAACTGGAGACGCCAGCACTTTGTCGCAGTGGTATAGGTGAGAAGACTCCCGCACAGGCGTCAGGGTTCTTTTGTACCGACCTTCTGTCGTTTCAGGTCATGGGCCTTCTCTCATGCTAGTGAATTGGTGGTCACTAGATTTTTGTCTAACTAATATCTGTTTTTCTTTTTGTTCCACCAGTGACTGTTCGATTTTCCTAGGTGGTTCGGGGGTGTCTGGGCGAGAGCCGCTGCCTGCTGGGAATCCGGAGTGGGAGGTACAGAGGTTCCTACGGCGCAGCAACTAACATCATGCAGCGAAAACGGAACGCTCTGCCGGGTTCTCTGGGAGTCGGTGGACGGTTCAGGTGGCTCTGGGCTAGGTGGGGGAATCGGTCAGCCATGTGACCTTCCTGGTATGAAAGGGGAAGTTTTATTAGTTTTAAGGTAATTGTAGTTTAAGGGTACTGGGGTTTTTCAATTTGATTTCGCTCTTATAGTTGTAAGTTTTTAGAGGATATCTCTCTGGGATTACTATGTATGTATCAGAGTGTAAACTGGGTTTTTACTTTATTTAGGATATGGAGGAAAATATTTTCAGTCAGCTAGCGCTGATGAAAATTTACTGTGGTAAATTTTCTTGAAGCAGGGGAGGAATGTAACGGTTTTAATCGAACGTTATGCCTTATCGCCTATTTCTGTCTCAAAACTAGCAGAGAATTAACTTATAATCTAGAAATTACCTTGAATATGCTCCTGTCGTAGAACTTCATTAGATTTTCGAGAAAACACAGCTTTATTCAGGTGGGATTTAGCGTAACTGGTGTAAATGTTCCTTCTTAGGGCTCACATAATTTTTACAAGGTTACACTTAATTTTACTATGGTTTTCAGCAGTAGTTTTCACTCTTAAAATATTGTTTACAATAACCTCTGTATTTTGTTGATTTTATTCAAAAGGAATTTAGCGTAACTGGGGTAAATGTTCCTCCTTAGGGCTCACATAATTTTTACAAGGTTACACTGAAATTCACTATGATTCTCAATAAAACTGTTTACTTGTAGAAGTGTTGTTTACAATGTTTTTGTTATTTTGTAGGTTAAAACTGATGTCGGATGTCATTTAATTTCATGAATTATGCCTGTCGCATTTCGAGATGTCTATCTTTGTTCGATAAGTGATTCTTAGGTAATGCCTCTCTCTCTCTGCTTGACGGAGGACAAGGGACGTCATATGTCTGATTTCGATTCATACGCCAGTGATTCATGAACTAAGGAGTGCTCGTTTAAGCGGTAGTTGCTTTTCATGGGCATATTTTTGGGTTTTCTTATTGGTCGAGCAGTGTTAACAGAGCTGTCAGCCTGAATGCGAATGGTCGTATTCTAGTAGTTGAAGGAGGTCATTGGTCGCACAGTATAACCAACAATAATTTCTAGAGATCGGACAGTGGCGATTGGTTTAAATGGATTTTCTTTGAAATGATTCTGCGCAGTCGAGGTTTTATGCTAGGGGGCGAAGAACGGCGTAATTTGTAACACGTGGCAGCTTCGTCTTTCTTTTCCAACAAGGAATGTTAATGGAGGTGTTGAACTGAAAATTCGCTAAGAGACTTTTTACTTTTTTATGTGATTTTGTATATCATCCCGCGTGGGGAGTCTAGTAAAAGTGTCTCTATTTTATGGGAAGCATTGATGGTACGTTTTGAAGTTGGTTAACGCGAAGTTAGACCGGTATTTTTTATGTGATTGTGTGCCGGCTTTCCCATCTCATCTTGAGGAGTATTGAATATTGAAGTTCAACCCATCCGTCGTCCTGTAGCAGTTTGATGGTTGGAGACCGATCGTAATTGGGTTATATATTGAAGGGAGAATTGGTCTTTAAGAAGTTCTACGCAGATTTCATTTCCTGTTTGATTCGAAGTTACACCCTCCGGAACAGAGGGTGCTTGGTACCGGTGTTGCTTGGTACCGGTGTTGCTTGGTACCGGTGTTGCCTGCTACTGTTGCTGGGCACAGTGCAGCTGTATGGTAGTGAAGATACTGCCTAATACTAGCGTTTTCCTGACTGGTATTGATTATGTACTTCCTCTTTAACGAAGAACAGCCATTTTGGGGTTCGAACACCTCATCTACTTTTCTAGAACATCAGAGATTTGGTATCATAGGACTACATGCCACAGGCGGCAACGCTAGCCTTGAGTAGCACGGATCAGGAGATAAGTGGAAATTATGCATTTATTTTTCTATCATTTCGGTTATAATTTGGGGTTTATTATTTAGTCTACCACTGATACGTATATGTATACAGTTTTCTTTATGAATTTATTTGATTAAATAACGTTGTGTTCATATGCTATTAAAGGCCCTCATTGCCTATGTTTCATGGTTAGTTCATATATCATAATTCATAGTGTTTTATAATAAGAGTATGTTTCACATTGTTTAGTGAAACAAATACTATTTTAGTTTATAAGTATTTTGGATATGAACTTCTGTAATATACAGAAATTACAGGATTTTTAATATTAAATGAAGTTAACCTTTTCTATGAGTTGCGCTTGATATGTCTTTCGCCTTGGATCCAACGCTAATGACCGTGGGGTATTGAGAAGTAATACTATTGATTTTATTGGGGATTTTAATGGGGTACTGACAAGTAATATTATTGATTTTATTAAGATTCAATGAACTAACCCTGTCTAATTTCTGTACACTGCGCTAAAATATTGTAAATACTGGTATAAATTTGGGGTTATGATTAGCCCTCAGGTATGTAAGTAAAAACCTAGTCTTTCTAGCATATGAATTGTGTTTGAAGTCGCTAATAGCGCACTAATTGTAAAGGGGTCATTAACTAAGGGGAAACTATCTTCCAATTAGGAAATAAACAAGGTTTGAGTTAAGGTTGTCTTTTATTTTCCTATTTATTTGGTAGGTTTAAAAGTAGGACTTTTCTGATTTGTAGTGGCTTGGTATAGTAGATCTACCTGGCGTCCAATTTAACAGAACAGCTAAAATAATTTATTTTTCCCTGATTACGAAGTAATCACCCACTCCCTTCTCCACTTGAGTGAACCGGAGCTACAAGGTTGACATCAGGGACAACTGAACTTAAAGTAACGTTTTGGGGGTTACACTGTGACTTTTCTGTTTTTGTAAACTTTAAAAAATTATTATAAATTTTGTTTTATATGTATATAAAAAGAGCTCCACAAAGCAAAAAAAAAATTACGGTAATTATTTAATATTTTTATCAATTTGTAATGATGAGATAAATTCTAAAAATTCTAAAAATTTTATAAAAAATTCCAACGGGAATGAATTCTTCTAACTGTTTAAAATATACTGTATTTTTTTTTAATTTTTGAATTTAATTTTATTAACTTAAAAAAATTATTTTATGTAACGTAGTCGGTTTCGACGCCGTGCTCGCAACCTAAAAATGGCGCGCGGAAGGCTACTTTGAGCGTTAAATTAAAATTATAAATAATGGAGGTACAGTTCCCCAAATTGGAACTTATTTATAGCAAATTTCCTCCTCTTTAAGGATCTTATTTGAAAAATCCAAAAATATTTATAGTTTACAAACTATAGGCGAAAAACCAAACACCATGTTTTTGAGGTGTTTAATTGTTTATAACTTTTGCAATTTTTTATGCAGTGCAAAATTTTTTTTTAATACATTGATCCTGACATTATTCCGAATCGAATGAGCTATTGAACATAATTTTCGTAATAGTATGTCCCAAAAACACGCTTTTGAACTTGTTGATTAGACTAAATATTGCGTACGCTTTTCTCAATACTTTTATTGTTTGTGTGTTGTAAAATACAAATTTATAGTTTATCATTGTTCACAATACATTTTTACTATACTCTCTTTATATAGAAGGAAACTAGGTATGGGAATCATGATTTTTTTTTCGTCCTTTGAGTTTTCGCCGGATTTTCACGTTTTGGGGGTCACCTGATTCCGTTTTTAACTATTTTCGCGACGATGTCTGTGTGTCTGTCTGTGTGTCTTTGTGTGTATGTCTGTGTGCCTGTCTGTGCGTATGTATCCACGATAACTCACAAACGGATAAAGACACAAAAACTTCATTTTGAACATAAGCTATCCTCCAATTAGTCGATTAGATTTTGGGCATAGTCGGAACATCTAGGGGGTACTTTCAAGAAATATCTGTTATTTACCTTAAAGAAGAAAATTATTTAAGTTAAAGGTTTTTGTTATTTAATTATCTACAATTTTTTTCTTATTCATGATTTCCCAAAAATGGTCCGTAATCGAGAAATTTAACAAAAAGTGCAAAATTCAAATTTTCATCATTTATTACTACATTGAAAATGAAAATATACAAAAAAAATTTTGAATGCGTGAAAAATGTACATATTTAATGCGTCAATATTTTCGATAAATTTGATTATTTAATCTGTTAAATAAGTCAGCGAATGTGTGTCAAATCCCGGAGCAAGTGTAATTACATGATTTCTCGTAAATGGACCATAATGAAGAAATTTGAGGAAAGTATAAAATTTGAATTTTTCAGTATATTCGTTGGCAATAAATATTTATAAAAAAACTGTGTCGAGTAAGGTGTGTATGGGAAATGTATGTATTTAATTCATTCTCTAAACATTTACAGGGATGATACAATAGGTTGTACAAAATAACAGGAAAAAGCCTATAATATTTTTAGGTGAGAAAGGAAAGTCATTTGTTGGACACATCAGATTTTTATTTTATATATGAATCCACGGATGTACATTATTAGTCCATGAATGCATGAAACTAACTAACTAATATTTTAATTTTTTTGCAGATATGTATGATGCCCAAGGAGAAAATAACCAGGTTACGTTGCAGACTAACTCTGATGAAGAGGAAATTATATCCAATTTAAGAACCCAAGCATGGGTAGAAAACCAAGATTTCTTTCCAGTTGCTTGCGAAGGGGCAGCGTCCTTTCCACACCAAAATTTAATACAGGATATGCAGCGAGTGCATTTAAACGCCCAGAGTTCAACTTCCAATACAAGTTTAATTCGAATTGATTCAAATAATTCCGAATTCGTTGAAGATTTTGAATCAAAAATAATCCAAACTACAATCCAAAGGTAGGAGACAATGCGTTTCCTATAGAAAACGATAGTTGAATTTATCCAGCTAATAACAATGCCATATTATTCAAGCCTGCTGACTTTTCTACCACTAATGATAATACTTTGGAGGATAGTTATTTTCCTCTTGATATAAAAAACAAATCAAGGATCATTGACGGATAGTTCTATTAAAGAGTTAGTTGAAAAAAGAGTATTTGAAATTGGAATTGAACAATCCAATCAAGAAGAATCGAATAGACAAGAAATAGAGTAAGTAGATGTTTCCAACGATGATAGCGTAAAATATTCCGATTTTCACTTTGGCGATGATGAAACTAAAAATACAATCGATCATGAAATTACAGAAGGTTTTTCCAAAAGACGAAAGAAGAGCAGAACTAACGACAACAAATTAAATTCCAAGACATTCTTAAAGGCAACAAAATAGAGATTCTGTAAAAAGAAAGGCCGCATTAGAAAACAGAGTGAGATTGCTAAAATACTGGAAAAGAATATGCAAATGAAAAGGGAGAAACTGTAAAATCGAGAACAATTCCACCAGTGACTGAGTGTCGAATGAAATGTAAACATAGATTTCCAGATGATATACGACTGTCACTCTTTAAAGAATACTGGAAATTAGGGCATTATGATAAAAGAGCTAATTTTCTGTCTTCGCTGATTTACATTCTAGATAAAAAAAGAACACGTGTGCGAATTGAATGAGTCAAAGTTCGAAAATTCTGTTATAAGTATGAACTCGTTGTAAAAGGCGAACGAAAGTCAATATGTAAAAAATGTTTTATTTGCACGTTTGGGGAAACAAATGCGTTCGTAAATCAAATAATACAAAACAGGCAGTTCTACCTATCCAGCATAATAGAAAATGTCCAAAGAGGTCGAATTGCGCCAAAACATAAATGGTCTCAAGAAAGTCTAAACGCGTTGAACATCTTCGCAGCTTTCCGGCATATGAGAGTCATTATTGCAGACATACGACGTCAAAAAAATATCTGCAATCAGATTTAACCATATTTTTACGTATCATCAAGAAATTGTATTTTTTCTTTATTAATGTTTATTATTGCTTATTTATTAAAATATTTCAAAATTATCCATTCTATTTTTTATTTGGTTGGTGCGAACTTTACCAATGAAAATATAAAATTATTTATTATCTCATAATGATTAAATTATTTCTAAATCTTAAAATATTTAAATTTTTGTACTTCTAGAATCTTATTGGTTACTTTAAGCTTTAGTTATAATAACAATCAAGTAGAAAATATTTACTAACAAATAATCAAATATTAATATTTCAACAATAAGTATTGATATTTTAAAATTTTATTGCTTTATAACACTTATTATTTTCACCAAAAATAAATCTAACTAAAATATTAGCATTTTTCGCTACATCAATGAAACGGAATTCTTTGAAAACAAAATAACAAGCCACACGGGGAATGTGCGTGTTATGAATAGCTCCAATTAGGATAAATTAAAACAGGATTGCAGCCGCTAAGCGCTTTATGCCAAGGAAAACATGCTAATAACGTAGTACCTATATAAATAGGATGAACAAGGCTTACTTCTTGCGCTTTATTTTATAAATAGGTATATATGAGATTTTCCTTGACAATAATCGTTATTTTTTAAGTACACAAAGAATATTTATAAATGAAAGAAGTTTTATACAGTGCGTCCATAAAGTAACGCATAAATTCATTATTGGCTAAATGAACAATAAAATTAGGAATTCCCAAAACAGGTCGATTTTTGATTTCAATTTACTATTGTTTCAAATCATAATCTAATATACAGGGTGAACCACTTTCGTGTAATGACGTCATCACCATTTTTTTCAAATGGAACCCCCCTTTTTTTTCAATTTCCAAATTGCCTTTGCTGAGCTGATTCCAAAAATGTATAATATGTTGCTTCAAATTGGTACAGGGTGGGCAAAAATGCAAAAATTTACTTACAAAGTAATGAAAATAACGAATAAACGTAATAAACACATTAAATGAAATTACGTATTGTTATTACAACTACTTTGATAAACTATCAAGAACATATAGCATTATTCTTAATAATTGTATCTTACAGCTTTTATTAGTGATCCAAGCCCCTGGACTATAAAAATCTTTTTGTTTGGCATTATCTTTTACCAGTTTTTTTTATTTGACATACCAGTTTTTTTTATTTGACAACACTGTCAAAAACATTGAAGCACAGTTTCGTATTGTTAACGCTGTAGAGAAGGTACGTTCGTGAACTTTTTTTACAAAATGCCTTTAACCGAAAGTGAAATATTAATGATGATTGGTATTGGCGATAAGATGCGGACTCAACAAGAGGTATGCCGATTATTCCATGAAATGCACCCAGATCGTGAACCTATTTCACAATCTACGGTAAGTAGAATAGAGCGAAAATACAGAGAATTAGGACATGTGAGGGATGCAGCAAGGCAAGGTAGACCAAAAATTGATGAAAATATTCAACAAGACATAATTTTGTCGGCTGTAGAAAATCCACACTGTACAGTAATAATAATAATGAGTTTATTCAATACCAAAAAATATTTACATGTAAAATTACAATATTATGCTGAATAAACTACGACTAATCACAGAAGCGTCACCCCAGAAGAGGCTCAGCTTGTATTGTGATATACTTATTTAGTAAGTTCATACATTTGTATCCTTAATATTAATCTTAATTACTATAATAATTTCTATTATCATTCGAGAACTAAAAGATTACAATGAAATTTCAGAATTAAGTGAGTTGTCAAAATCAGGAATAGTTCATAATTATATGAGTTGTCATAATCGGAGTGCGAGGATTATCTAGGGATTTTGGTATTGGAAAGTCTTCAGTATCAAACATTTTCAAAAAGGTAAATTACCATCCTTATAAAGTACGTCTCATCCATGAATTGGCTGAAGACGACTTTGACCGAAGAACTGAATTCTGCGAGTATATGATGAACCAAAATAACAATTTCATTGATAACGTTTTATTTTCGGACGAGGCAACGTTTTATTTGAACGGTCATGTTAACCGGCAAAACACCCGTTATTGGTCTGATGAAAATCCACACTGGATGCAAGAGTACCATACGCAAAGACCACAAAAAACTAACGTATGGGCTGGTATTGTGAGAAATACAATTATTGGTCCATATTTTTTCGATGAAAACTTAACAGGAGCATTATATCTGGATTTCCTACAAAATACATTAATTCCTGATCTGATCCAGCTTTTTCCTGATATTCAAATACCCACTAATGTAGACCGCAGAATCTGATTTCAACAGGATGGCGCACCGCCACATTACGCAGTAGCTGTGCGCAATTTTTTAAACACAACTTTTCCACAAAGGTGGATAGGAAGAAGGGGACCAGTGGAATGACCTGCTAGATCACCTGATCTGAACCCATTAGACTTCTTTTTATGGGGTTATTTAAAATCTAAAGTCTACTTCAACAGACCTGGAAATATCCCTCAACTACAAGACCGAATCAGACAAGAAATACAGAGCATAACACCCGCTATGCTACAGAATGTTAGAGACGAAAGTAATGCCCGGTTCAGTCATTGTCTAACGGTCAATGGAGAACAATTTGAACATTTATTGTAAATTTTCGTTCGTTTGTTTGTTTTTGGAAGTGTATCACATTAATTGCATAACTACATAATTCCATTTAATTTGTTTATTACATTCAGTAACGTATTACTTTCCATAAACAATTTTCATATTTTTTTTTGCATTTTTGCCCACCCTGTACCAATTTGAAGCAACATATTATACATTTTTGGAATCAGCTCAGCAAAGGCAATTTGGAAATTGAAAAAAAAGGGGGGTTCCATTTGAAAAAAATGGTGATGACGTCATTACACGAAAGTGGTTCACCCTGTATATTAGATTATGAATTGAAACAATAGTAAATTGAAATCAAAAATCGACCTGTTTTGGGAATTCCTAATTTTATTGTTCATTTAGCCAATAATGAATTTATGCGTTACTTTATGGACGCACTGTATATCCGTTAATAATCTTTTAGAATTATGGTTATTTTTTGGATTTGATTTTGTTTGTGTTTAATTTTTATTTGTGGAAAGCCTGTTTCCAAAGTTTTTTTTTTATTTTTAAATTTTTTTCAATTTCTAAAGTTTAAAAGTATTGAATTTTTACGTCAATAATTTTAAAACCTACTTTCTGTGCCTAAGCACTTGAGAGGTAGGATTTATATTAATCCAAATGTTAGATGCTTACTAGCTACAGTGAAGAAGGGGGTGAGCCGTAGTAAAAATTATGTAGGTAAGTGGGCTCCAGCAGTTTACTAATACCCAACAGTCTCAAGTGGCGGTCCACTATAAAACTCCAAATAGCCAAACCAAATGCATCTCCTCTACGAGGGCCCTCAAGCAGCTACAAATTGAATATTCTTCCACTATTATAAACCGTTACCTTAACATAAATCCTATTGCTCAGCCTGTCGAACAGACAATTAGCAAGTTAAGGTTAAATGACAAGAAAATGGATGTAAATGAAAATGATAATATATATTTATTAACTATGAAGAATATTTCATTGACTTAAAAACTGGAAATTATGAGGACATTAACTATTATTTGGCAAGTGTAGACTGGGATAATCTTTTCTATAATAAAAACCTTAATGATTTAGTAACCGCTTTCTGTAACGTACTATATGAGATAATTAATGAATTAATTCCTATAAAAAGATTTAAAACTTCAACATTTCCTGTGTGGTTCAATACATATTATTTAGGAAAAAAAAAAAACGTTATAAACAATACGGTAACAATGACGATTTCATTATTTTCTTGGAAATTAGGAATCTTTGTAAAAGTACAGTTACATCTGACATTTATTGCATGATATTTATGTCTGACAGTTGTTTATTCCAGTGTAAACACTCAAAAATATATGTTCGAGATAAATTTTTGTGTGTTTACACTAGACTAAATAACTGTCAGACATAAA